TTGCTGTAACAGAAGAAATTTACATAGCTGCAATTATGTTTTTTTCTTTTGTCGGTACTATGAGCCTGACTTGTTCAATGAATTCGATGTTTTGCTTTCATTTGTTGTTCTCTTTGCAGGCAAGAATCTTTGCACTGAATTCATCATATATCCTCACTGCAAGTTAATGAGAAAATGATGGCGGATGTATAGCAACAGTCTAAATAAACAGCTGCAGAAGCCCCTTTATGCCAGCCTTTTTCCCTAAACTATGAACAAACAGAGTTAGAGAGACATTTTAAGAGATAATGTGACTGCCACTTAAACTATTTTATCAATTTTCCCCCAATTACCCAAAGTACTATTCTTGTACTACACCCCTCTCACTATGCACAAAGCTATTCAAACCCAAAAAGAACAATCATCTATCTCTTAGAATGTGTCTTTGACTCTATCTTCTCTCATAGATTACTTTTATTTCTCTCTTGCAATCATACTCTCTAGCTCTCTCTTCTCTCACTTCATATTTATACAGAGTTTTCATTGAAATACATAGTCCTGTAACTAGAAAATCAGTGTCAACTCTCTCTCTCTCTCTCTCTACATAGAAGCATATTATACATATATAAATATATGTGTGTATTAGAGCTGAATGATTTATCAGCATGTACTGAACTCTGTTTTTCTCTTAAAAATATATTTGCCATACCTGTGCTGTTAGGGTTAAAATTAATCAATGCATGTAGTTGATTATGAAGCATAAGCAGCTATTGGAGCTCAAATGGGAATCTAAAGCATCTATTGAAGCTGAATTATGTTCGATTGGGGCTCAGCTATTGAAGTAATCAATCAATGCATGTGTTTGATTTGGGCCAAATGATTTCCTGCGGGCAATAAGGTTAGAAATTTTGCTTTCCTGCACATGATTTTCTATTTCTCTGTTTGGTTGTTTTGAAATGAAATGGAAATTGTGCTAGATCATGTTTATGGTTTTTGAACACTTCATTTGAAGAGTTGAAAGACAGAGATTGAGCATGGTTTTTGTATAAATTCTTTACATTTGAGAAGTTGGAAGAGAAAGATTGAGGAAAAAAATGATTGATCTGGTTTTCCTTTATGTTTATCGTACTTTACAGTGTCATACAGACAACACATATTTCATTTAATGTATGTAGTATAGGTTGGATGGCAAAGTTCTTCAAACAAGTGCAACATTTATCATTCAATTTTTATAGTTTTAGTGTGAATATGGTTATATTAGTAGTTACCAATCTCAGTAATTTATATCATCATATACGACTTTAAGAGTTGAAAGAGAGAGATGAGGGGGAAACAATTATTGATCTGGATTTCCTTTATGTGTATTGTAATTTACACTATCATGCAGACATATTTCATTTAATGTATGTAGTATAAACAAATGCAACATTTATTTCAACATACATGACTTTACGACACGTGTTTTGATGCTTTGGAATAATGCCAAGGACTTTCAGAAGTTATTTCAAGGGTGAAGATAATAGACATTTTGTTAGGATATAATTTAATAATAGTTCGAAGCATACACCAAGGAAGGTTAGTGGCCTGCAGATCATAACCATTGGTTTGGCATGGTTTCTAAATCCTGTTTTGTTGCACATATTTGGCAGAATTTTCCAGTTTTGCATCTAATAAAAGAATAATTAGAACTTGTTAAGTTGCCTTAAAAGGTGTCATGTGGACTAACGCAGACTATTTTCGGATTTAGTTTAGTAATGACCACCTTTTTATCTGTTTCAGCTACCAGGGAAATGCCTCTCCATATGATTCTTATTGCAGCTTATAAACACCCTGATGTGAACTCAGCTTATAACAATGTAATCTGATCAGTTGTGTTTCACAAAGTAAGTGTTCTTACCTGATGTTGATTTTTGAAAGCACCGATTCGATTGTTAGTGATAAATCTTAATAACTGATATTCTGCTTTTTTTATTTATACTTTTCTTATCTTCTAGAAATTGGTTAAGTGATTCTTATTTTGGTGTAAACTTGATGCAGACACTCAGAAAATGCAACAATTATGTTTATTTCGGTGAATAAATTTTGTTCTCTCTTGGACTATAAGCAACTCTCCATTTATTGGATTTTGCAATTGCATGTTGGCATGAGTTTTAGCCTTTTACTACCAATGGAAAAAATCATTATGAGTATGCTTAACACTATTACGGACTCCACTAATTTGAGCTTTATGTGGTCATGGTAATTTCAGAACTTTTCCTTTATTGGTAAATTAGATAAAAGAAGGAAAAAAGTTGAGTACTCGTGACCATTCAAATTTAAGTATATAGGTTCTTCCTCCCTGTAATTTAGCTGATGAGGCCTAAACTAAAATTTCGAAATGCAAAAAACTTATAAGCTCAAATAGTGAAATGGTCATTTGTTATAACATTTCTTTGAATTTTAGTGAGTTCATGGATTTGTTTAATGCTTCAAAAACAACCGAGTCCTTTCCTCACTCTTCAGAAGGTGTTCTAGTCTTTTGAGCTGAAAATAGAAAAGAAGATTTGATCTTATCCCCTATTTTAAGCTCCAATCTTTGTGCTTAACTTAGTATCTCAAAATTCTTATAGTTGGCATTTTTAAGCCCCAACTAGTGTTTTTTTAGGGTTGAGAATAAGAAGGCTACTTGAAGGAGACAAATCATCTCTTGATTTTTTTTTTTATTTTTTTTTATTTATAATTTTAATTTTTTATTGAGTGGCATGCATTACTGGGTCTCTTTATCGTTTGGCAAATGAAAGACCTTTCTGCTATATAACACTATTGATCTTGTGACTCTTTAGTAGTTTAGAGTTAAGACGTTTAGTAGCTTTGTTGGGCATGTTTTTGACCTACAATATCTATGGAAAACAAAGGAAGAAAAAAATCAATTGATATATAGAAATTAAAAAAGAAAGATGTGATTATAGAAACAAAAAAACATATGTTTTTCCATGCTAGAATGCTATTCACTTGTGTATTGTTCGAATTTAAATCTTGGAGCCTTTTAAGCCCGAATTTTCTGTTCAAATGTCATTTTGCTCCAATAATTGTGCAGGAAGACCGAAAATTGAATGGAAAAAAAAAATTAATAATAAAAAAATAAGAGACACTAAAATATAATTTCATTACCATATCCCAACCCAATTGCTTCTCAGACCCTTGCAAGTTTAACTTTATGTACTAGTGCTATTTTCTTGGTGACCAAACAAAGCAATGGAAAGTTAATCACTCAATTGCATAATAAGAAGTGAACTTCATAAATGCTATCAAATACCAGTATCACACAACACACCATGTTGGTATCTAATCAAATTGACCAATCAGGAGCCCATTATAGGGTAATTTGGGCCCTGGCCTATTCCGTATTGTGGGCCGGACTGTTTTAGAAGGCTTCGGTGGCCCAATAAGCTTTGTAGTGGTGGCCCAGTGGCTGGCCTTAAAGGGCTAGGCCAGACTTGTTTAAGTAGGCTTTGGCGGCCCAGGGACCGACCTAAATGGACTGGACCAGACAGCTTGCAGCAGGCTTCAGCAGTTGTAAAATATACATCTTAAGAGAGGATCTTCTTGTTAATTTTTTAAAATAGCAAGTCTTGAACATAAAAAGATACATGGGTTAATATATATATATGTATATATGACAAAATGATTGGGAAGAATAATAATCCAATAAAAAATGACTCTTAACTATTAGAATCCAGAAATTAACAAATCAAACAATTTAAAACCAACACAAATCAGGTCCAGAAATTAACAAATCAAACAATTTAAAACCAACACAAATCAGGTCCAAAACATACTGAAGTAAAAATACTCCATTTCATCACATGTCATTCAACAATACAAACCACGAACTACAACACAAATTAGTAATTCAATGGATGATTAATAGAGTGGGATTTTTTTGCGACAAATGGAAATAGATTAGGTGGTTTAAGTGTCAAAATGAGAGTTTAAAGGAGTTTCTTAAGAAAGAGAAGAAAATTCAGGCCTTTTTATATTGAACCTGTTATCCTTGCAATTCTTTTCACTGATATATACTAAGTTCTTTTAGACTATAATTTTATTCACGCCCATATATTTTAATGAGTGTGTAGATAGAGAATCAGATAAATATATATATATATATATATATATATATATATATAGTTCCTTTTGTGTCTTTGTCAACTGGAAAACTGGCTTGAGAGCATATAAACAATACAAGAAAATTAATTCAAGGCATTCTCTGAAGAACCCATCAATAATTAAATAGGCCTTTTCTTTTCCACTCAACAAAATTTAAAAAATATAATATAAAGAGGAAGCTTAGTTGTACAACAGAGTTAAACAAAGAACAAGCAACTCATTCAGCTTAAATAAGCAGTAAATCACATACCAGCTAACAAGCAGGTGAATATGGTGAGAAGCAGAGCAATGAGCCAATGAGTCCTTGTTGTTGCCTGATCTTTGGCCAAACACCTTTAAAATGTCCAAAGTTTGTATTCTAAAAGTCTATGCAGAGTAAGAGATAGAGACTGGGAGAGGCGTGCTAGAGAGAGGGGTTTAGTGCAGGAAAGATGAGGTGAGGAAGGGTATTGTGCGAGTATATAATGGTCAAAAGGCGTGCTAGAGAGATGGTAATGAAGCCTCTCTTGTTTGAGAGCCAAAAATGGGTAGCTTTGCCCAATGGGTTTCTTTTTGCCAGAGGTCCCTAAATACTCAATATGACAATGATGTGCCCTTCGAATACCAAGGGGCAATGCCATTTAAATTGTCCACAAGCTTGCTCTTAATATTTATGGATGTGCAAATACGTTTGATATATATATATATATATAGAGAGAGAGAGAGAGAGAGAGAGAGAGAGAGAGACCAGTATTAACCTTTGATGCTGCAGTCAAAGACGTTTACATCAATTGTTAGCTGGCCAGCATCATTTGAGTTCAGATGCTTTTAATAGCTGCTCCTTATGATTCATAATCAACCACATGCATTTGTTTATCTAGTGCTAAAAACACATGTAAGGAAAATATGTTTCATTGGGAGATGGAAAGAGAGGTTTGTACAATTAAGGAAAAATAAAAGAGGAGGTTTGTACATGCTGCTAAATCAGATCAGCTCTAATACACATTTTTTTATACAATATACATGTTTATATGCTCAAGCAAGCATGAATTAAAATTCACGAATTAAAAGGACTATTATCCTATTATTACTTCAGTAAGATGAAGGACATCTCCCTCTTAATTCACGAATTAAAATCCACTCTAATACCAAGGCAAGGAAGCGCAAATTGGCTATGTAGCAAGTTTTGTTACTTCGGCACACAGTAGGCTCCAACAACACAACATGGTTCAATAGGCTTGAAACTGCTCGGCCTGCAGCTTCTTCACTTCCCGAGCAAAAATTGACTTATCATAGTTGAATCTTAGCAGTTTGCCTAAAATATTGAGGCAAATCTCACCAAATTTTCCCACCCCTACCAAGCCAAAAACAAGAAAGAAAGGTATTTAGCTTACTTCAGGGAAACCAGATTTATTTTTTCTCTCTCTTTCAATTCTTAAAATGCAAAGAATGCTTACAAAAACCATAAAAATCATGTCGCACAATTTCCATTTCATTTCACAACCACCAAACAAAGAAATAGAAAATCAACTGCAGGAGATCAAATTTTCTCACCTTATCGCCCCACAATAGCTGAGCCCTAACCGAAAACAGTTGAGCTTCAATAGCAGCTTTAGAAAATCCCACGCTAATTCTGAGTTTTTCCAGCAGATAAACTGTTGCCATGTAGTTTGAGAATTCTCAGAATTATGACTGCTTAAGCTGCTACAAAATGTCTACAAAATGGCAAAAAAATATCATGATGTATCAATACAAATATAAAATATATATAAAACAGTAGCTAGTTGACATGTTACTGGCAGAAACTAAAAACAATGAAACCCTACTAACAGGATAATTACTGAGATGAATCTAGAAACTTCTTAGATTGTACCATTGGGCTAGAGGCCCTTTGGATGTGAAGTGCGTAAGTTGCTACCATAGACACCTCAACAAAAATAAGTGTCATGCAAAGAACACATGAAGCATTAATAACTAGATCAATAGCAAATAGAAATGGTTTTAACTCTAAACTACTAAAAAGTCACAAGCTCAATAGTGTTTGTTATGCTAGTTATAGATTACCATGAAAGCTAGAATATTAGTAAAAGAATTCATCCAAATGGTACAATACTTTCATATTTTCATCCGGCATTGCTAGTGATAGCGACTAATATTGAGTCTTAACTTGGTACCACATCAACACCTTTATAATGAGACTGAACATCATAAGTTAAGGAGATGACAATAGGCCACTCAATAAAAAAATCTACACACAGTTTGTCTGAATAGTGAGGAAAGGATTCGGTTGTTTTTTAAGCATTAAACAGATCAATGGACTCACTGAAATTCAAACAAATGTTCTTGTACCAAATGACCATTTCGCTATTTGAGTTTATAAATTTTTGAAAGATAGTTTGCATTTTGAAATTTCAGTTTAGGCCTCTGCTACATTGCAGAAGAGGAGGAACCTATATTCTAAAATTTAAATGGTCACATACTTTTTTTTTTTCCCATCTTTTATTATCTAATTCACCAATTAAGGAAAAGTTCTGAAATTAACATGACCATATAAAGCTCAAAATAGTGGAGTCCATAATTGTGTTAAGTATACTGAGAATGATTTTTGCCATTGGTAGTAAAAGGCTAAAATTCATGTCAACATGCAATTTCATAATCAAATAAATGGAGACTTGCTTATAGTCCAAGAGAGAACAAAACTTATTCACACTCAAATAAATAATAATTATTGCATTTTCTCAGTGCCTGCATCATGTTTACACCAAAATAAGAATCACTAAACCAATTTCTAGAAGATAAAAAAAAGTATAAATAAAAAAAGGAAGAATATCAGCTATAAGGATTTATCAATCTATATAACAATCTATGCTTTCATAAATCAACATCAGATAAGAACACCTAATGAGTACACATCAGTGTGTTTATGACCTGCATAATTGTGCAGAATTGTCTGCAATAAGAATCATGTTGAAGGATATATATAAAAGTTGCACCCTCTCTAACAGCTTAAGCTTTTGGAGTAGATGGTTGCTAACATCATATCAGAGCCAAAGGTCTCGAGTTCAAACCTCACCGTCACCCTAATTAAAAAAAAAATTTGAAAAACACGAGTTGGACCAAAAAGAAGGCCACACGTGAGGGGGCGTGTTGAAGGATAAATATATAAAAGTTGCACCCTCTCTAACAACTTAAGCTTTTGGAGTACATGGTTGCTAACAAATCATATACAGAGGCATTTGACCACTGCAGACAAACTTACCCTGGTAGCAGAAATAGATAAGAAGAAGGGCATTACTAAACAAAATCCGAAAAATACTGTGTTATCCACAGGACATCTTTTAAGGCTACTCAAGAAGTTCTAATTTTTCTTTTATTAGATACAAAACTGGAAAACCAATGGTGTATGCTTTTGACCTGCATTACTTATCAGCAGATCATGTCTATTGCAGGGTACTAAGTTTCCTTGGTGTATGCTTCTTTTACCAGGAGAAAAGAAAGTGAACTCCATGTACAAGACTCTATCCTAACAAAATATCTATTATCCTCACCATCGGAATAACTTCTCTTAGCATTATTCCAAAGCATCAAAACACACGTGTCGTAAAGTCACGTATGATGAGATAAATTTTCTTCCGAGATTGATAACTCCTAGATGTTGCACTTGTTTATAATAGATACATTAAATGAAATATGTTTGCATGAAAGTGTAAATTTCATTTAACATAAAGGAAAACCAGATCAATCATTAGTTTCCCTCAATCTCTCTTTTTCAACTCTTCAAATGCAAAGAGTTCATACAAAAACCAAAAACATCATCTAGCACAATTTCCATTTCATTTCAAAACAAGCAGACAGAGAAATAGAAAATCTTGTGCAGGAAATCAATATTTCTTACCTTATTGCCCGCAGGAAATCAGTCTGCCCAAATCGAACACATGCATTGATGAGAACTCCAACAGGTTGAGCCCCAATCAAACACAGTTGAGGTTCAATAGCTGCTTTGGATTCCGATTTGAGCTCCAATAGCTGCTTATCCTTGATAATCGACTACATGCATAGATTACTTTCAGCCCTTTTTTGATAATCAATTAATTTTAGCCCTAAACAGCACAAATATGGCAAATATATTTTTAAGAGGGATGGAAAAAGAGTTCATTACATGCTGATAAATCAGCTCAAATACACACATATGTAGAGAGAGAAAGAAAGGGTTGACATTGATTTTCCACTTACAGGACTATGTATTTCAATGAAAATTCTGTATTCTGGCTATGAAGAGAGAGGAGAGAGAGCCAGAGAGAGAATGACTACAAAAGAGAAATAAGAATAATCTATGAGAGAAGATAGAGTCAGAGAGACATTCTAAGAGATAGATAGAGACTGGGAGAGACTAGAGAGAAGGGTTTAGTGCAGGAAAGATAAGTTTCACGGAAGAGTACTTTGAGTAATTGGAGGAAAGTTAATAAAATAGTTTGAGCAGCGGTCACAATATCTCTTAGGCAGCGATTAGAGAAAAAGGCTAGCATAAAGGGACTCCTGTATATTTGCCGAAAGAAAGAGAAAGAAAAAAAAAGAATAAGTCAAGCTCTTGCAGCAATTTATTTAGATCGCTACTATACATCCGCCATCATTTCCTCATTAACTTGCAGTGAGGATATGTGATGAATTCAGTGCTAAGATTCTTGTCTGCAAAGAGAACAATAAATGAAAGCAAAACTCAGAATTCATTGAACAAGTCATGCTCATAGTAAATTTCTTGTGTTACAGCAATTATCCACATCGCCGGATGAAAATTCTCACTGCAGGAATCACTCAATCTAGCAACCACACATGCACAACACCATCTTTCATGCACGGAAAAGTTTCTGGAAAAGAGTTACTAGCAGATCCAGGACATACAAGGGATGAGGGACTAATTTAAAGAAAGAGAAAACATGTGTAATAAATAAATAATAAATATAATTGATTATTGGAGATACAGCCTGAAAAACCACTAATCATTTGTTAGGAAGGTGGTTACTCAAGTTGTTTAGTTTTGGCCTCTGCAGCTTTCATCATTAACAGAATGATATCAGAAATACTAAGGTCTGCACTAAAAATTAGCTCTAATCATCTAAACCAGATACCAAATCTAACGCAGCAACCCAACGCATCGGTAACTGAGATACTATATATAAATTTGGCAAAGCATTTTAATAAAGAATATCTAAGCAACTTCACATGCTTTAAAGAACTACTATGACAGCCATACAAAAAAAAAAAAAAAAAAAAAAAAAACAGGGGAATCAGTTTTGGCATCAAAAGTGGAAACGACTACTCGTTAATCAATCGCTCAATAATTGCCAAACATTGATCAGCAATAGATTTACATTCAACCGAACTCAAACATTGATCAGTAATAGATTTACTTTCAAACACACACAGATCCATTATTATCAAGCCCTCAAGAGTAAATTAAAGACATCCAGGGAATTTTAATAATAAAAAATCATAGAACTACATTGGTCCCCTTCATGAATGTCATCCAATTCTTTAGTACATGAAAAGGATTCCACATTTGATCATGAAAAGGAATCCACATTTGACCAAACTTAATTATAAACAGGCAACCTCAAGAAACTACCATGTAACTACCAATCAAGCAAGGCTGCTTGGCACAACCCAGCAAGGCTCTTTCATCATACACTGAAGGTAACAAACTGTGACAAGTTTGAGAAATGTAATCAACACACCAAACACTAGAAACAAAGATTGACGAAAAATATACACTTACTACGAAAAAAGAACAGAAAAAATAAGACACAGAGAGTTGTCAGGATTCACCATTTTTGCATGACAAGATCTGGTTCTCTCTTGCGATTAGGGTTTAAGAACGTCGAAGCGCAAACCCTAAAACTATGGCAGCCCCAGTCGTGCTCGAGAAAAGTGTGATTATATATTAGGTTGTTAAATGCTTGGAGACACCATCGTCTGTTGTTGATATTCTACCGAAAGGCACCGTATATATCAAGCCTAGTCACTCATCGCCCTACCAATCTAAACCCTAGCCCACCTTGCGTGTGTAGCCCAACCCACAAAAGTAATTTGGATAATAAAAAATATGTTTATCACTATAGGCCTCACTGAAATTCGTTTATCACTATAGTGTGGAAAGGACTCAATTGTATTTTAAGCATTAAACAGATCAATGGACTCACTGAAATTCAAAGAAATGTTGTACCACATGACCATTTCACTATTTGAGTTTATAAATTTTTTAGAGAGTTCGCATTTTGAAATTTCAGGTTGGGCCTCTGCTAAATTGCAGGGGAGGAAAAATCTATATACTTAAATTTACATGGTCACAAGCACTTAATATTTTTCCTTCTTTTACTCACCATCATAATAACTTCGAAAATACTAAACCAAATCCGAAAATACGCTGTGTTAGTCCACAGGACACCTTTTAAGGCTACTCAACAAGTTCTAACTTTTCTTTTATTAGATACAAAATTGGAAAATTCTGCCATGCGAAACCAATGGTTATGTAATGACCTGTACTACTTGTCAACATGTCGATTGCAGGTCACTAAGCTTCCTTGGTGTATGCTTCTAACTTTTATCAAATTCTATTTACCAGGAGAAAAGGAGGTGAACTCCATGGCATTATTCCAAAGCATCAAAACACAAGTGTCGTGAAGTCATGTATGATGACTGATGAGATAAAATTTCTTCTCAGATTGACAACTACCAAGTTAAACCATATTCACACTAAAGCCATAAAATTGAATGATAAACGTTGCCCTTGTTTAAATAACTCTGCTATCCAACCTATACTACATTAAATGAAATATGTAGTGTAAATTACGATAAACATAAAGAAAAACTAGATCAATCAATTTTTTTTCCCACAATCTCTCTCTCTCTCTCTCAACCCTTCAAATGCAAAGAGTTCATACAAAAAGCATAAACATCATCTAGCACAATTTCCATTTCATTTCAAAACAACCGAACAGATAAATACAAAATCAAATTTTCTCACCTTATTGTCCGCAGGAAATCAGTCGGCCCAAATCGAAAGGACTTCCATAGCTGAGCCCCAATCAAACACAATTGAGCTTCAATAGCTGCTTTAGACTCCGATTTGAGTTCCTATAGGTGCTAATGCTTCATAATCGACTACATGCAATGATTAATTTTAGTCCTAACAGCATAGGTATGGCAAATATTTTTTTAAGCGAGAGTTTGGTACATGCTGATAAATTAGCACTAGCACACGTATATTTATATATGTATAATATGTTTATATGTAGAGAGAGAGAGAGAGAAAGAGTTGACATTGATTTTCCAGTTAAAGGACTGGACTACGTATTTCAGTGAAAATTCTGTATTCCTGCTATGAAGTGAGAGAAGAGAGAGAGCTAGAGAGAGGGTGACCGAAGAGAGAAACAAGAGTAATCTATGAGAGAAGATAGAGTCATAGAGGCATTCTCAGAGACAGATGATTGTTCCATCAATTTTTTTGGGCTTGAACAGTCTTGTGTGTAGTGCGAGAGAGAGGAGAGACGGGCGTAGAGCAGGAAAGATAAGTTTCACGGAAGAGTACTTCGGGTAACTGGGGGGAAATTAATAAAATAGTTTGAGCAGCGGTCACAATATCTCTTAGGCAGCAGTTAAGAGAGAAAGGCTGGCATAAAGGGGCTCCTGCAGCGGTTTATTTATACCGCTGCTATACATGCACCATCATTTCCTCATTAACTTGCAGAAAGGATATATGATGAATTCAGTGCTAAGATTCTTGCCTGCAAAGAGAACAATAGATAAAAGCAAAACTCAGAATTCATTATAAAGTCAGGCTCATAGTACTGACAAAAGAAAATATAGATACTTGCAGGAACCACTCAATCTAGCAAACCACACATGCACATGCACGAAAAAGTTTTTGGAAAAGAGTTCGTAGCAGATCCGGGACATACAAGAGAATGAGGGACTAATTCAAAGAAAGAGAGAACATTTGTAAGAAACAAAAAAAAAATATTGATTACTGAAGCTACAGCTTCAAAAACCTATACAGGGGAATCAATCAAATTATCTACTGCTGATCAGTTTTGGCATCATAAGTGAAGATGACTACTCATTAACCGAGTAGCTCAATAATCAGCTATTCATTCATCAGCAATAGATATACATTGAACCAAGTAAGCAAGGCTACTTGGCTGCAATCCAGCCGATCTAATATAAGAAAATTGTGGTCTGAAGAATATATATATATAAATATATTCTAGCTCAGGAAATATTTATAATACCAATAAATAAATGAGAAACAACCACAATAATATTTAATTAATGGTCTTGCGAGATTGATCTCACATTTTGATACAACAAGAGATAAAAATAGATTACTTGTAACGACCCTAAACTGAAAACCAAATTTAAAAAAAAAAAAAAAAAATTCGGCATGACCTCTGCTATAAAGGGTCCTATAACAACCTGCTTAAAAAATATATATATATATATGCAATGTCCTCTCATGGACCTTCAAGACTTATCCAACTTGTCCCAATACACAATACAAATTATATATTCCAGCATCCCTTTCATCCATTCATTATGCCTCAACATGGTTCATCTCTTGGTGGAACATCCACATACCATTTAATCCAAATTATCGTAATTACAGTCACAAAATATATGGTTAAGATCTAAAGTCCATGTCTTACAATGTTTAGACAACTTATAATAAAGTTACAACCCATAAATATAATTACAATAACAAGAATCCACAAATCTCTATACCGAATATAACAAACTAAGGTTTTACAAAAAAATTATGGGACTTAGATACAAAAACAGCAAAATGATCTTCTAATCCAAATTAGGCCTGTGGTGGAACGTCGTTCGCCACTTCTTTCCCGTTTCCTAAAAAATGTTAAATATAAGGGGTGAGCAAAATTGCTCAGTAGGTGGTGCCTAAGACACCTCTTGTAGCCCCATGAATCCAAATAATGAATAGGACAATAGGGAACGGGGTCATGCTAAGCCGGGAAAATACAATATCAATTCCAAGTTCAAAACAAGTAAATGTCGTGCCATGAATGCAACGTCATGCATGTCATTCCCCATTTTCAGAAAACATCCATCACTTCACAAACTGTTAATATAACCCGTCCTTTGGTGACTCCGCAGCGACACGAGAGAAGGATTGGCTACTGTCCCTGACCCTTGGTACCTCCGCGGCGTCATTTTGGGCCCAGATAGCTCAACCACGCTAGGGCAATCTCCCTAGTTCCCTCCGGGCTATATTAACACACCAGCCCTTTGGTGACTCCGCGGCGACCGAGTTTTCTCAAAAACACTTTTACCAAAACATTTCCCCAATTTTTTTTTTTATACCAAATACTTTCCCTTTTTCTTTCATGCCCGATGCCATGGATGCATGCTACATATTTTCCAATAGTATAAAATGAAGGGAATTTAAACTTCACAATTTAACATGTTTCTTCATAGGAATTTCTCAGAAAATATTATAAACACCATGGCATGGAAAATTAACAAATTAAGCATATTCTTTCATACATTTCAATTAAATACACATAAGCATGTTTTTCATACAATTCAATTTAACACAAATAATCATAAACTTCATACATGACAATTATATCATTCTCAAGGCTAATAACTCAAAATTAAATATGTTTTGCAACAATTAATGAGAGAGAACTCACAAAGGAACAAGAAAAACATGACTTAGGAACCCCTACCTCAATTTTATGCAAAACCCACAATTTTCACCTCAAACCCTAGGATTTAGAGATCCATCAAATGATGGCCAAATGGAAATTGGCTCTGATCAACTCGTAGATCTCGTCGTGGGCTTCAAATTGCTGCAAACGGCTTCCAAAAATACCAAGGATTGGAGGAGAAATCAAGCTCTAAAACTTTGATTAAAAAAGAAAAAGAAAAAGCAAAGTAAAGGGGAGAGAGAGAACCAGCGGGGAGAGAGAAATGAGAGAAGGAAAATGAGGCTAAAATGCCTCTTTGCCCACTTTAAAGCATTCATGTGGGCCCCACCTATTTTTCTTTTTATTTTTCATTTTTCTTTTGTTTTTATTTTACACCACACACAACATATATAAACATATACACATTAATTTACAACCACATAAAATACATTGAATAAAATAGATAAGATGCAAATGGACCCAATTAAAATCCCCGCATGCAACAATTTCGGTAGCGGGTCCCACATGGGACCGTCCGGCCCGAAAAACGAAAAAATGCAAGAATGATCACCCTTACATTTCAAATAGTCTTGGACTCAATGAAATGTCCCACACAGTTCACAGACACAACTAGCACACTCCACAGTGTCCGGCAGGCGAAATGGCAAAAGACGAAAATGCCCTTGCAACAACAAAAATTCCAAAAAAATGAAAAATGGCGAAAATTGAAAACATCACATTACTTTACCACAAAATGATAAGCACAAAAACAAAAAAATAAATTAAATTAGATTTGACCAAAAGACAATCCAAAAACAAATTAAGTATACTCATTTTCCTAAAACAATTAGTACAATCCAAATTGAGGGTGGCATATGGTTATGTGAAGGATCAAAGATGCAATGGGTCCCAAAGCTTCCATTCTCTATGTTGAAGATACCAATGACGCGGCACCCAGGTGCGGGATAATATACAATGATTTTATAATCTTTTGTGTAGAATATTGAATTTGCCTGACATCCGGACCATTTGGAAGTTGAAACACAAATGGAATGGTGATCTCCCCAAAACAGGGTGTCTCCACCCAAGTTGTTCGCTTCAACCTGCATAGGCTAACCTTGCTCAAATTGCTCTAAGAGCAACTTGAAAACCTGAATTCTCTTTTTATCTAACGTAAGTCCAAGCTTCATCTCCTGCTTGAATAAATGCCAGGTTAAAACGACAACCATAGATAGCGGTAGCAATATAGTCATTAGGATACGAAGCAGGGTCAACTAACAATGTAGCCTTTGCAACTTCAAGCTCAACCTCAGGAGGAACTGCATCAATCTCGTATAAGATCTCACCATCACTATCACCGCCATTTTCATGAGGAGGTTCGAATTCTAAGCGGTCCATTATTAGAGGAAGCTCAATGGTGGCGCCGGATTCATTAGAGTTACGCCCAAGGATTCTTCCACAATAAATAGCCAACCATGTAAGGAACCAGAAACCCTCTTTCTGTAAGGCACCCGTAACTAAAAACCATATAGCTTATTATGAGTGATGCTATATAGACTACGTCTTTTGTCGCTATTATCTTTCGAAGGCACCATCAAGAATGGAACTTGTCTAAAAAACTTATTTTGAATGAATTTAAGTTTGTTGTCCATTGCCACACAATGCCATGGTTTGCAAACCGCACCAAATCGAACATATTCAAAAACGAAACCAACTTGTCCAGAATCATATTCGATAAGTTCTTTGGCAGGTATGCCAAATCTGACTCCTCCATTGAACTCATCGTGTTTATCTCGCTAATAGCACTGCAATGTCAATCAAAGAATCTATATAATCACAATACATTATATCTGCAATACTCAATACTCAATTCGAATGGGTTTACAATTTTAAACTAATTGATTCACAAAAAAACAAAAACAATAAAACTTGCTAGATATAGTATGAATTAGTCATTGGTGCAATACCTCTTTCATCATACACTGAAGATAACCGATTTGCTACTAACAAATTCGAAAAAACTATTCTAATAAAATTCATTTTCAATATTAAAATCTAATTGAGCCACTACCAAATCCAAATCCCATAAAAACTATATATATTGTGAATATGAACAATCAAAAAAAATTACCTCCAGGCAGCAATATTATTTCATCTTTATATGAACATATATATTTACTAATCAGGAATTAAATGATTATATATATATATATATATATATATATATATATATATATATAGTATGCATATATAAGTTCCGGAATATATATATACACACAAGTAGATCACACCAATCGCTTGAAAAGGAGATATATTAGGGTTATACATCATATGAATATGAATACATGACCATATAATAGTAAATTCGGCTAACAAAGTAGGCAAAAGCAGAATAAGAATATACACAAAGGTTGGAGCTTAAAATAAGGGAAAAGATCAACTCTTCTTTTCTATTTTCAACTCAAAAAACTAGAACACCTTCTGAATAGCGAGGAAAGGACTCAGTTGTTTTTTAAGCATTAAACAGATCAAAGGACCAACTGAAATGCAAAGAAATGTTGTTGTACTAAATCACCACTTCACTATTTGAGTATATAAATTTTTGAAATATAGTTTGCATTTTGAAATTGCAGTTTAGGCCTCTGCTAAGTTGTAGGGGAGGAGGAACCTATATAGTTAAATTTTAAATGGTCCCAAGTACTTAATTTTTTTCCTTCTTTTATCTAATTTACCAATTAAGGAAAAGTTATGAAATTAACATAACCACATAAAGCTCAAATTAGTGGATTCAGAAACTGTATTAGGCATACTGCTAATGATTATTGCCATTGGTAATTAAAGGCTAACACTCATGCCAACATGCAATTGCAGAATCCAATAAATGGAGATTTGCTTATAGTCCAACTGAGAGATCAAAACTTATTCACCCAAATATACAATAATTGTTGCATCAAGTTTACACCAAAATAAGAATCACTTAACCAACTTCATTTAAGATTTATCACTAACAATCTATGCTTTCAAAAATCAACATCAGGTAAGAGCACCTACTTTGTGAAACACAGCTGATCAGATTACTTTGTTATAAACTGACTTCACATCAGTGATCAGTGTGTTTATGATCTGCATAATTGTGCAGAATTGTCTGCAATAAGAATCATATACAGAGGCATTTGACCAGTGCAGACAAACTTACCCTGGTAACTAAAACAGACAAAAAGAAGGGCATTTCTAGACCAAATCCAAAAATAGACTGCGTTAGTCCACAGGACACCTTTTGAGGTTACTCAACATGTTCTAATTTTTCTTCTATTAGATACAAAACCGGAAAATTCTACCAAATATGTGCAACAAAACAGAATTTAGAAACCATGCCAAACCAATGGTTATGTTATGACCTGCATTACTTGTCAGCAGATCATGTCGATTGCAGGGCACTAAGCTTCCTTGGTGTATGCATCCAACTTTTATCAAATTCTATTTACCAGGAGAAAAGGAGGTGAACTCCATGTACAAGATTCCATCCTAAAAAAATATCTATTATCCTCCTCATCGGAATAACTTCAGAATGTCCTTGGCATTATTCCAAAACATCAAAACATGTGTTGTAAAGCAATCTCAAACCGACTCTAAATGTGTTTAAAAAAACGTTTTTAGGCAGTTAAAAAGCAATCTCAAACCGACTCTAAATGTGATTGAAAATGCCGATTCAAGAATCAAGCTCGATAAATAGGTAAGACTCAGTCCAAAAGTATCGAGGGACATACTGTCCAAGGTTTGGTCCAGTAGTCTCTTTATTTGTTAATTTTATTTAGACTTTATTTTTTTAGGATTTTTTAATTTAATTTTGTTATAAGTAAATAAGAAGGACATTAGAAATCAAGTGGGTTCCTCGAAGTACAAAGTTAAATACATGAAACAATGTTATATAATTTAAATTATATACAAAATTTTCTATTTCTATTACTAGGGCTATGTGTTTTTCTTAGGTAGCTAATCATGCAAAAGAACACTTTTTCAGCTTACACGTTGCCACAAAGCATATTTGGACTCTTGTTTCCAACCATAAAGATAACCTTTGGGCTCAATGGGTGAGGACTCGATTGGTTCGGGATAGATGTTTTTTGGACTATGAGCATTCCACAAGCTTGCTCTTCTGGGTAAATGAAAAACAAAACCAGAATTTACAACATACAGCCTCAGTACCAAGAAAACATGTCAATTCATTCATATATATGGATGTGCGCACACACACACACACACACATATATATATATAGAGAGAGAGATAGAGAGAGAGCACTTGTTAGCTGGCCAGCATTTACCTTTGATGCTTCAGACAAAGACTCATTCTACCCATTTTTCCTCTAACAGCTTAAAGCAATCACTGAATGTGACTGACTGCAGTGATCCTTTATAACACAGTAAATTTTTTTTTTTTTGATAAGTAACTTTATGACAGTAAATTACTGAATGTGACCGACTGCGGTGATCCTTTACGTGGTGAGGACTCTTTTTTCCAACCATAAAGATAACCTAAGACGTTTACATCAATTGTTAGCTGGCCAGCATTTACTGTTGATGCTTTTAATTCAGATTTGAGTTCCAATAGCTGCTGCTTATGATTCATAATCAACCACATGCATTTATTTATTTAGTGCTAAAAATACATTATGGAAAATATGTTTCATTGGGAGATGGAAAGAGAGGTTTGTACAATTCAGGAAAAATAAAAGAAGAGGCTTGAACAAGCTGCTAAATCAGCTCTAATACACACATGTTTTTATACAATATACATGTTTAAAATTCACGAATTAAAAGGACTATTATCCTATTATTATTTCAGTAAGATGAAGGACATCTCCCTCTTAATTCACGAATTAAAATCCACTCTAATACCAAGGCAAGGAAGCGCAAATTGGCTATGTAGCAAGTTTTGTTACTTTAGCACACAGTAGGCTCCAACAACACAAGATGCCCTTCGAAAGATTTAAAAATGACAGGTTCAATAGGCTTGAAACTGCTTGGCCTGCAGCTTCTTCACTTCCTGACCAAAAATTGACTTAACATAGTTGAATCTTAGCAGTTTGCCTAAAATATTGAAGCAAATCTCACCAAATTTTCCCACCCCTACCAAGCCAAAAACAAGAAAGAAAGGTATTTAGCTTACTTCAGGGAAACCAGATTTATTTTTTCTCTCTTTCAATTCTTAAAATGCCAAGAATGCTTACAAAAACCATAAAAATCATGTAGCACAATTTCCATTTCATTTCACAACAACCAAACAAAGAAATAGAAAATCAACTGCAGGAGATCAAATTTTCACACCTTATCGCCCCACAAGAACTTCAATAGCTGAGCCCTAATCGAACACATGCATTGTTAAGAACTTCAGTAGCTGAGCCCTAACCGAACACAGTTGAGCTTCAATAGCGGCTTCAGAAAATCCCACGCTAATTCTGGGTTTTTCCAGTAGATAAACTGCTGCCATATAGTTTGAGAATTCTCAGCAATTATGACTGCTTAAGCTGCTACAAAATGTCTACAAAATGGCAATAATAATAATAATAATAATGCTGTATCAATACAAATATAAAAAATATATAAAACAGTAGCTAGTTAACATGTTACGGGCAGAAAATAAACAAATAATTATTGAGATGAATCTAGAAACTTCTTAGTTTGATGTCCAATCAAATGATCAAAACAACTACAAAACATTGAAGCCCTACTAACAGGGTAACATGATGTCTATTCCATTAAATTTCAAAATGATATAAACTCAGTTCCCAACAACTTCAAAGAAAATTTGAATTAGGGAGCCATTATTCCAAAATATGTAATATAAAGTAATTTAAGTGCCTCACATCCTAACAAATAGATTAAACCATAAGGAAATAGAAAAAGATAATAAAATTCTAGACAAAAAAAATTGGCTATTAAAAACACAAAAAAAAAAAAAAAAAAAAAAAAAAAAATATTAAAAGCTAACAATGGTTCTGCCATTCATTTTATTAAATGCATAATTTTCATTTTTTTTTTTTTTTTTTTTTGGAAATTGAAGCAAAAACACACTCATTATCCGTAATATGTCCTAGTGGGACTAAAACTCTCCACCTCCCCTTTTGGTTCAGGCTAAGGAATGTGTGTGGGTGGGGGTGTTTGGGGGGGAGAGAGATTGTACCACTGGGCTAGAGGCCCTTTGGTTGTGAAGTGCTTAAGTTGTTACCATAGACACCTCAACAAAAATAAGTGTCATGCAAAGAACACAAGAAGCATTAGTAACTACATCAATAGAAAATAGAAATGGTTTTAACTCTAAACTACTAAAAAGTCACAAGCGCAATAGTGTTCTTTGTGCTAGTTATAGATTACCGTGAAAGCTAGAATATTAGAAAAAGAATTCATCTAAATATTACAATACTTTCATATTTTCATCCGACATTGCTAGTGATAGCGACTAATATTGAGTCTTAACTTGGTACCACATCAACACCTTTATAATGAGACTGAACATCATAAGTTAAAGAGATGACAATAGGCACATCACAAGTTAAAGAGATGACAATAGGCCACTCAATAAAAAAATCTACACACAGTTTGTCTCACTTTTCTATTTTCAGCTCAAAAGACTAGAACACCTTCTGAATAGTGACGAAAGGACTCAGTTGTTTTTTGAGCATTAAACAGATCAATGGACTCACTGAAATTCAAAGAAATGTTGTTGTACAGAATGACCATTTCGCTATTTGAGTTTATAAATTTTTGAAAAATAGTTTGCACTTCGAAATTTCAGTTTAGGCCTCTGCTGCATTGCAGGAGACGAGGAACCTATATACTTAAATTTAAATGGTCACAGGTACTTTTTTTTTTTTTGGCAAATTACACAAACCACCCCCGAGGTTTCCATCTCTTGCATTCGGATAGAAGTTGGCACAATAAGTTGGTCAACTACCCTTCTAGTTTTATTGACTTGACAGATGACCTTGAACATGAGGGGTAAAAAAATATTTTGACAAAAATAACCTTCTTTATTTGAAATTACTATTTTTAATGTTTAAATTATTTTAATAATAAAAATAAAAAATATATCTCAAATAGTAAAATGACAACATAGTCCACACTTATTAGGGATTTCATAAGACTCGCACCATCTCTCATCAACCACGGTTCCTCCACCATCTCTCATCAACCACGGTGCCGCCACCGCCACCATCTCTCTGTATCCACTGCCACAACCACCATCTCGTCGAATTGTTCCACCTCTTACCACCATTACTCATCACCACCACCATCCACAACTAGGGCTACAACCACCCCCAAATTTTTCTTCTTCCCTTTCTTGCACACACACACATATATACATATATACAGAGAATTACTCATCACCACCACCGTCCACAACTAGGGCTACAACCACCCCTAAATTTTGCTTCTTCCCTTCCTTGCACAAACACATATATATACATATACACAGAGAATTGAAATTGCTTCTTCCCTACCCACGCGAAATTACTGGTGGCAAAGAGATCGAAGATCTATGTTCACCGCAATTGTCGAAATTGTTGGCATCACCAAGCAAATCATTATTGCCACTGCAATCGTCGATCATGCCTCTAATTCGCGAGCGGTGGTGGTGGTTCTGATTGTTGGTGGTGATAGCGGTGGTGGGTTTCGCTGATTCTTGAGCAGTGGTGGCTTTTTCCTCTGATCTCGTCGCATCTGATCAACGGCAATGGTGGTGGCTGCTTCTAATTGTTGGTGGCGATAGCGGTGGTATGGTGGGCTTCTCATGAAGGGGGCGGTGATGGTGGTAGGTGGTGTTAGGACAGAGAGGGTGTGGGAGGGATAGAGATAGGGACATAGACAGAGGGTACGGTGGGTTACAGAGGGTTTGAGTGGCAAAAATTAAACTAGCCAATACACAATATTCTTTATTTTTTTCATTAAAAACAAATACTTTAATTTTAAGGTCAAAAATGTAAATTTATATTAATCCCTGTGGTCAAACGGTCAATATGAACCACTCTGTTATATTGGTATAACTTCTATCCTAATGAAAGAGATGGAAACCTCGGGGGTTGTTGGTGTAATTTGCCCCCACCCCCCCCCCCCCCCCCCCCCTATCTAATTTACCAATTAAGGAAAAGCTCTGAAATTAACATGACCATATAAAGCTCAAATTAGTGGAGTCCATAATTGTGTTAAGTATACTGAGAATGATTTTTGCTACTTTAGTAAAAGGCTAAAATTCATGCCAACATGCAATTTCATAATCCAACAAATGGAGACTTGCTTCTACTCCAAGAGAGAGAACAAAACTTATTCACACCCAAATAAATAATAATTATTGCATTTTCTCAGTGCCTGCATCATGTTTACACCAAAATAAGAATCACTAAACCAATTTCTAGAAGATAAGGAAAAGTATAAATAAAAAAGGAAGAATATCAGCTATAAGGATTTATCAATCTATATAACAATCTATGCTTTCAAAAAGCAACATCAGATAAGAACACCTAATGAGTACACATCAGTGTGTTTATGAGCTGCATAATTGTGCAGATTTGTCTGCAATAAGAATCATGTTGAAGGATATATGAAAGTTGCCCCTTTAACAGCTTAAGCTTTTGGAGTAGATGGTTGCTAACATTGTATCAGAGCCAAAGGTCTCGGGAGTTCAAACCTCACCGTCACCCTAATTAAAATTTTTTTTGAAAAATACGTGTTGGACCAAAAAGAAGGCCACACGTGAGGGGGCATGTTGAAGGATATATATATAAAAGTTGCACCCTCTCTAACAGCTTAAGCTTTTGGAGTACATGGTTGCTAACAAATCATATATAGAGGCATTTGACCCCTACAGACAAACTTACCCCGGTGGCAGAAACAGATAAAAAGAAGGGCATAACTAAACAAAATCCGAAAAATACTGTGTTATCCACAGGACACCTTTTAAGGCTACTCAAGATGTTCTAATTTTTCTTTTATTAGATACAAAACTGGAAAACCAATGGTGTATGCTTCTGACCTGCATTACCCATCAGCAGATCATGTCGATTGCAGGGCACTAAGCTTCCCTGGTGTATGCTTCTTTTACCAGGAGAAAAGGAGGTGAACTCCATGTACAAGACTCTATCCTAAAAAAATATCTATTATCCTCACCATCGGAATAACTTCTCTTGGCATTATTCTAAAGCATCAAAACACACGTGTCATAAAGTCAAGTATGATGAGATAAATTTTCTTCCAAGATTGATAACTCCTAGATGTTGCACTTGTTTATAATAGATACATTAAATGAAATATGTACGTATGAAAGTGTAAATTTCATTTAACATAAAGAAAAACCAGATCAATCATTTTTTCTCCTCATTCTCTCTCTTTCAACTCTTCAAATGCAAATAGTTCATGCAAAAACCATAAACATCAGATAGCACAATTTCCATTTCATTTCAAAACAACCAGACAGAGTAATGGAAAATCTTGTGCAGGAAATCAAAATTTCTTACCTTATTGCCCACAGGAAATCAATCTGCCCAAATCGAACACATGCATTGATGAGAACTCCAACAGTTGAGCCCCAATCAAACACAGTTGAGCTTCAATAGCTGCTTTAGGTTCTAATTTGAGATCCAATAGCTGCTTATCCTTCATAATCGACTACATGCATCGATTAATTTCAGCCCTTAACAGCACAAATATGGCAAATATATTTTTAAGAGGGATAGAAATAGAGTTCAGTACATGCTGATAAATCAGCTCTAATACATACATATGTAGAGAGAGAAAGAGTTGACATTGATTTTCCACTTACAGGACAATGTATTTCAATGAAAATTCTGTATTCTTGCTATGAAGTGAGAGGAGAGAGAGCTAGAGAGAGAATGACTACAAAAGAGAAATAAGAGTAATCTATGAGAGAAGATAAGAGTCAAAGAGACATTCTAAGAGAGAGAGAGAGACTGGGAGAGACTAGAGAGAGAGACATTCTAAGAGTAATGAAGCCTCTATTGTTTGAGAGCCAAAAATAGGTAGCTTTGCCAGTGAGTTTCTTTTCTTCATAGCATTCGCCAGAGGTCCCTAAATACTTATAAATTTATTGAAAAGTGTTACTCAATAGGACAATGATGTGCTTCGAATACCAAGGGACAATGCCATTTCATATTCAGACTCATCACATGAAGAGAGGGAAATAGTGTGTGTGAGAGAGTGTTTTTAGCCCTAGATTTTGATTTTTGAGTGCCTCAAAACACTGTTATTCATAAAAGAAAGAAAGAGTTGTTACAAGATATTATCAAGGTTTTTAATTCGGATGTTATGATTTTTTTTTCAAAATAATTCGAATCTCATTAGAAGCATGTTAGTGAAAGCAGAGATGATAATATGAGCAAAGAAATACATATTAATAGAGCATGCTAGTGAATTTGACTACTATATGTTAAAAATAATGTGCAAATTTAACAATATATATACAACAATATTTAAAAACATGATTTTCTCTTTGATAACGAGGAATGAAGTTTGGGTTGTGTGCCAGTTCCATGTCAAATTGATAAAAGAAAAAGGTTGCCATGCATGCATGATTTAATCATAAGATATTTAATAAATATGAATTGGATTTTTTTTTTTTTTTGAAGGCTGTTTTAGTATATAATGCATTATCTTCAATTTTGTATACACCCTATCATTCAAGTTTTCACCGGCAAATAGATATACCTCCCTTTTAATTTATAGTTGGGTGTTTATGTGTATCACGTTAGACTAACGTGAATATCTTAGTGTAAAGATTACATGCAAAGTACAAAATTCGGTTATTTAACATAACCTATGGTTTAGGATTGGTTAAAAATGGTTAATAAACTGCATTGGATTACAATACATGCGTGAATGGGGATGTGTTGGTTTGACCATACAACGCAACCCCGTGTAAGAACTCGTTTGGCATTGCAGTTAGAAAAAATAAGTGCTTTCACAACTGGAGCGGTAGAAAAATTACATTTGGTGAAAAATATAGTAGGTGTTTGATGACATGTACTCTTTATAATTAAATTATTTTTAAATTTGTTTGGTAATAATATTTTTAAAACACTTGTATTGCTAATTTTACAATAATATCTTTTAATACAAAATTAACTATATTTGATATATAATTTTAACTTTATAAAAGAATGGCTGAGATTGTCTTTGTAAAAAATAAAAAAAGGATAAAATTGTCTAAGAAAAAATAATTACCTAAAATATACAACCTATACTCAAAACGCGATTTGAAAAGTTCATAAGTCTAACTTCATTCAAAATCTCTAGTAAACTAAAATTGGTAACCATTAAATACCAAAAAGGCCTATATGTAATTTAATTTTTTAAAATAAAAACGTTTTTTAGGCAATTAAAAATCAACCTCAAACCGACTCTAAATGGGATTGAAAGTACCAATTCAAGAATCAAGCTCGATAAATACGGTCAGACTCGGTCCAAAAGTATCGAGGGACATACTGTCTAAGGTTTGGTCCAGTAGTCTTTTAAAAAGTGTTGTACGGACCTGAGGATGCTTTCACAAAATTTTTGTTAATTTTATTTAGACTTCGTTTTTTTAGAATTTTTTAATTTAATTTTGCTATAAGTAAATAAGAAGGACATTAGAAATCAAGTGGGTTCCTCCAAGTACAAAGTTAGATACATGAAACAATGCTATATAATTTAAATTATATACAAAATTTTCTATTTCTATTTCTATTACTAGGAATAAGTGTTTTTCTTAGGTAGCTAATCATGCAGAAGAACACTTTTTCAGCTTACACGTTGCCACCCAGCATATTTGGACTCTTGTTTCCAACCATAAACATAACCTTTGGGCTCAATGGGTGAGGACTCAATTGGTTCGGGATAGATGTTTTTTGGACTATGAGCTTTCCACAAGCTTGCTCTCCTAGGTTTTTTGGACTCAATTGATTCTGGGTTTTTTGGACTCAATTGCTCTTCCAGGATATATTTCTGGGTTTTCCCAGCAGATAAACTGCTGCCATATAGTTTCAGAATTCTCAGCAATTATGACTGCTTAAGCTGCTACAAAATGTCTACAAAATGCAAAAAAATATAATGATGTATCAATACAAATATAAAAAATATATAAAACAGTAGCTAGTTGACATGTTACTGGCAGAAACTAAAAACATAATTACTGAGATGAATCTAGAAACTTCTTAGTTTGATGTCCACTCAAATGATCAAAACAACTAAAAAAATTGAAGCCCTACTAACAGGTAACATGATGTCTATTCCATTAAATTTCAAAATGATATAAACTCAGTTCCCAACAAGTTCAAAGAAAATTTGAATTAGGGAGCAATTATTCCAAAATATGTACTATAAAGTAGTTTAACTGCCTCACATCCTAACATATAGATTAAACCATAAGGAAATAGAAAAACATAAGGGGAAAGTCTGAAAAACACCCCTGTGGTTTTCAATTTGTGCGAATTACACCCTTTTTGTTCGATTTGTTTATATAAATCCATACTAGATATAAAAATGTGCAATTAAGCACCTCCGGTGAGAATTCCGGTGAAAATTCCGGTGAGTTGGTCATGTGCATGGCACATGACCATTTTAAACCCTTTATTCCCAAAATTGCCCTTTTATATTTCTTTACTACCCCTCACCATATATATATATGTATATATTTGTATATCGTATTTTTTTATAGTTTGCAGTTAAAGCGCCCAATTGATGACGAGTCCTTGTGGACTTCACCATTAGAGCTTGACATGGTGAGAACATGCCATTCTTACTCGAACACAACTGAAAACCACAACCCAATTAATATTACTAACATCATAAAGAGAAGAAGAAATACCCGTTTTTATGTTATGTTATGTAACTGGAAAGAGGTTGGGAGGAGAGAAAGTGGTTTACCTGAGAAGGGGTGACAGGAGAGAGATTAGAGGCAGCCATGGAGCATAAAGGGTAAGTTCAGAGTTGAGAACGAGAATAGAGATGGAGGCGATTAGGGAGGCTGAAATGATTTGCCCTAAAAAAAATTCATAAAAAATTTCACCAAATAGGATTTAGTTTGCAAAACAAGAATTATAGACCTTGATTAGTTGATTTAGAAAAAAATTTAAAACAAAACCCATAAATACAAGTTAGCAATTGCACCGCGGGGGGGGGGGGGGGGGGGGGGGGGGGAAGCTTGAGAGTTGAGAGACAGCGTGAAGCTTGCGAACGGTGAACCCGAACTGGAACAGCAGGCAATGGAAACTGAAAAATATGGGTTTTGATTTTTTGAACAATCCAAAATGATATGCCGATATGGGTTTTGATATAGGTAATAGGTTTTGAACTTTTGATTCTTGCCGACAGATAGATAAACTGAAATATATGGGTTTTGAACTTCTGATTCTTGTAGATTTTGTAGTTTGTAGTTGCAGAGAGAGGGCAAGTTTAGAGTCGAGAACGAGAATAGAGATGGAGTATTGATAGAGGGCTATTTTAGTCTTTTCCCATTTTTTGGTTATTTTATTATTATTTTTAAATCATAGATAGAGGGCTATTTTAGTCTTTTTGTAGCTCCGGTACCGGTCAATAGAGGTCAACGCCCAAAATGCACTAATCCAAACCATTTTTAAAGTATAGGAGAGGTGAACAAACAATGGGGGGTTATACGCACAATATCGATCTCACAAGGGTGTAAAGCGCACGCGAGCCAAAACATAACAAAATTCTAGACAACAATTCTGCATGTGTTATCCTATTCTTCAAGCAACCAGAAAATAGACTATTAAAAACACAAATAAAATAATAATAATAATAAAATAAAATAAAGCTAACAATGGTTCTGCCATTCATTTTAACAAATGCATAATTTACTCTTCTTTTTTTTCTTTTTCTTTTTCTTTTTTTTTTTTGTTTGGAAATTAAAGCAAAAACGCACTCATTATCCGTAATTTGTCCCTAGTGGGACTAAAACTCTCAACCTCCCCTTTTGGTTCAGGCTAAGGAATGTGTGTGTGTGGGTGGGGGTGTTTGGGGGAGAGAGAGATTGTACCATTGGGTTAGAGGCCCTTTGGTTGTGAAGTGCATAAGTTGTTATCATAGACACCTCAACAAAAATAAGTGTCATGCAAAGAACACATGAAGCATTAGTAACTACATCAATAGAAAATAGAAATGGTTTTAACTCTAAACTACTAAAAAGTCACAAGCTCAATAGTGTTCTTTGTGCTAGTTATAGATTACCGTGAAAGCTAGAATATTAGCAAAAGAATTCATCTAAATATTACAATACTTTCATATTTTCATCCGGCATTGCTAGTGATAGCGACTAATATTGAGTCTTAGCTTGGTACCACATCAACACCTTTATAATGAGACTGAACATCATAAGTTAAAGAGATGACAATTGGCCACTCAATAAAAAAATCTAGACACAGTTTGTCTCACTTTTCTATTTTCAGCTCAAAAGACTAGAACGCCTTCTGAATAGTGAGGAAAGGACTCGGTTGTTTTTTAAGCATTAAACAGATCAATGGACTCACTGAAATTCAAAGAAATGTTGTTGTACCAAATGACCATTTCGTTATTTGAGTTCATAAATTTTTGAAAAATAGTTTGCATTTTGAAATTTTAGTTTAGGCCTCTGCTACACTGCAAGAGACGAGGAACCTATATACTTAAATTTAAATGGTCACAAGCACTGTTTATTCCCTCCCACCCACCCCCCCAAATCTAATTTACCAATTAAGGAAAAGCTCTGAAATTAACACGACCATATAAAGCTCAAATTAGAGGAGTCCATAATTGTGTTAAGTATACTGAGAATGATTTTTGCCGTTGGTAGTAAAAGGCTAAAATTCATGTCAACATGCAATTTCATAATCCAATAAATGGAGACTTGCTTATAGTCCAAGAGAGAGAACAAAACTTATTCACACCCAAATAAACAATAATTATTGCATTTTCTCAGTGCCTGCATCATGTTTACACCAAAATAAGAATCACTAAACCAATTTCTAGAAGATAAGGAAAACTATAAATAAAAAAGGAAGAATATCAACTATAAGGATTTATCAATCTATATAACAATCTATGCTTTCAAAAATCAACATCAGATAAGAACACCTAATGAGTACACATCAGCCATAGAAGAAGGGATCTGAAAAAGAGAGATGAAATAAGTGGGGAGGCTAGAAAGGGTGATCTTAATCAGAGTGACCCTCCCACCCTTAGAAAGATACTGCTTCTTCCAACTTGCTAGTCTCTTCTCAAATCGATCCACAACCAGGTCCCAACACCTGACACATCTCGAAGGGACTCCAAGAGGCAACCCTAAGTAAGAAATGGGAAAAAAGACCAGTGCGACATCCAAGAATTTGAGCAAACATCTTAATCTCAGGAACCTCCCCAACCGGAACTAGAACGCTCTTACCAACATCCATCTTGAGCCCAGAAACAACTTGGAACCAAATCAAAACACATCTCAAATATCTCAGTTGAGACGCTTCTGCATCACAAAGAACTAAAGTATCATCCGCAAACATAGTGGGAGATTTCCAACTGACAAGCAACATCTCTGCCCACCCGAAATCCTCTCAAAAACCCCAAATCAATAGCTTTCTTCAACAATCTACTAAGAGCCTCCATCACAAAAAGGAACAGGAAAGGAGAAAGTGGATCCCCTTGCCTCAATCCCCTCGAACTAGCAAAAACCCCCGACGGGGCACCATTCACAAGGGCAGAGAAACGAGCGCTAGAGATACAAAAATGGATCCATCTCCTCCATCTCTCACCAAACCCCATCCTCTCCAAGAAGTAGAGGAGGAAGTTCCAATTCACATGGTCGTACGCCTTCTCAATATCCAGCTTGCACAAAACACTCGGAATCCCACTGCTCAATCTGGAGTCCACACATTCACTAGCAATAAGAACTGAATCCAAAATCTGACGACCTCCCACAAAGGCATTCTGAGAGTCAGAAATGACTCCATCCAGAGCCTTCCTCAACCTAGATGCCAAGACTTTTGTAATCAACTTATAAAAGCAACCCACCAAGCTAATAGGGCAAAAATCCCTAACATCCAGCGCCCCTCCCTTTTTCGGAATGAGAGCAATAAAAGTGGCATTCAAACTCTTATCAAAAGAGCCCTGAGAATGAAAGGCATTGAAAGAACCCATCACCTCCTCTTGAACCACTTCCCAACACTCCAGAAGGAATCTCATTGTAAAACCATCAGGACCTGGGGCTTTATCCCCATTACAGCTCTTCAAAGCGGGCAAAACTTCCTCTTCCGAAAATGGCTCCTCCAAAATAGAGCTCTCCTCACTCGAAATAGAATCAAAATGAAGCCCCGCAAGAAAAGGTCTCCACCCAGACGGTTCAATGAACAACATCGAAAAGTACTCAGCAAAACCTTTACAAATCTCCTCCTCCTTACACAACACCTCCCCATCCACCCGAATCCTCCCAATGTGATTGCCCCTTCTATGAGCATTGGCCAGTCTATGAAAAAACTTCGTGTTATTGTCACCTTCCTTAAGCCACAACGCTCTAGACTTTTACCTCCACGAAATCTCCTCCTATAGGTGCTTATGCTTCATAATCGACTACATGCAATGATTAATTTTAGTCCTAACAACATAGGTATGGCAAATATTTTTTTAAGCAAGAGTTCGGTACATACTGATAAATTAGCTCTAATACACATATTTATATATGTATAATATGTTTATATGTAGAGAGAGAAAGAAAGAGTTGACATTGATTTTCCAGTTAAAGGATTGGACTACGTATTTCAATGAAAATTCTGTATTCTTGCGATGAAGTGAGAGAAGAGAGAGAGCTAGAGAGAGGGTGACTGCAAGAGAGAAACAAGAGTAATCTATGAGAGAAGATAGAGCAATAGAGTAATTCTCAGAGATAGATGATTGTTCTATAAATTTCTTTGGGCTTGAACAGTTTTGTGCGTAGTGCGAGAGAGAGGAGAGACGGGTGTAGAGCAGGAAAGATAAGTTTCACGGAAGAGTACTTCGGGTAACTGGGGGGAAATTAACAAAATAGTTTCAGCAGCGGTCACAATATCTCTTAGGCAGCAATTAAGATAAAAAGGCTGGCATAAAGGGGCTCCTGTAGCGGTTTATTTATACCACTGCTATACATCTACCATCATTTCCTCATTAACTTGCAGTAAGTATATATGATGGATTTAGTGCCAAGATAAAAGCAAAACTCAGAATTCATTATAAAGTCGGGCTCATAGTACTGACAAAAGAAAATATACATACTTGCAGGAACCACTCAATCTAGCAAACCGCACATACACATGCACGAAAAAGTTTTTGGAAAAGAGTTCATAGCAGATCCGGGACATACAAGAAACCAGTAAACATGTGTTAAACAAGTCGTTCGGTTTTGGCCTCGGCAGCTTTCACCATTAACAGAATGATAGCAGAAGTACCAAGTTGTGCACTGAAATTAGATCTAATCATCTAAACCAGTAACCCAAATCTAAAGAATATATATATAAATTTGGCAAAGCATTTTTATCTTCACATGCTTTAAAGAACTACTGTGACAGATATACAAATAAAAACCTATACAGGGGAATCAATCAAATTATCTGTTGCTGATCAGTTTTGGCATCATAAGTGAAGACGACTACTCGTTAACCGAGTAGCTCAATAATAAGCTATTCATTCATCAGCAATAGATTTACATTCAACCAAACTCAGATCCATTATTATGATCAAGCCCTCAAGAGTAAATCAAGACATGTCAGGGAATTTAAAAAATAAAAAATTCAAACAACTACATAGGCTTACTTCATGAATGTCATCCAATTCTTTAGTACATGAAAAGGAATCCACATTTGACTATACTTAATTACACTCTGGCAACCTCAAGAAATTGCCATACCATGTAACTAGCAAGCAAGGCTACTTGCCTGCAACCCAGCAGATCAAATATAAGAAAAATGTGGTCTAAAGAAAAGAAAATATATATATATATATATATATATATATATTCTAGCTCAGGAAATATTTATAATACAAATAAAGAAATGAGAAACAACCACAATAATATTTAATTAAAGGTCTTGCAAGCTTGATCTCACATTTTGATACAACAAGAGATAAAAATAGA